GAGACATTACTGGCAGCCACTGGAGTAATAGATCAACAACGGGATGACAGTGACACGGGGCCGGGTGAGAGCTGGGGGAAGGGAGCAGGGCGGAAAAGCTAGTGCTCACGGAGGAGAGTCAGATACTACATCAGCTCCCCTAGATCCCAATCAGGGCAACCTTCGCCCCGCTGCCACCCCCGCTGGGAGCTTCACCCAGGAGTGTGGGCCTGGGACGGAAAAAGCCATCGGGGCGGTTGGGCCGGCCCTCAGCCTGAGCTCTGCAGCTGCAAGGCAAGGAGAAGGCTGAGCTCCAGCGACAGGAAGGACTTGCTCGGGCCCAGGGCTGGAAGGGTGCTTGCCGAGCTAAACTGGGACTGAGTTCCAGGCTCCTCCTGCAACTCTTATTAAAATGCACTGGCTGGGGCTAGAGTGATAGCACAACGAGTTGGGCATCTGCCTTGCACATGGCCGACCCGGGTTCGATTCCCAGCATCCCCTAGGGTCCCCCGAGCACCGCCAGGAGTCATTCCTGAGTGCATGAGCCAGGAGGAACCCCTGAGCATCGCCGGGTGTGACCCAAAAAGCAGGAAAAAAAAAATTCGGTGCCAAGAATCGAACCCCGGGTTGGTGGCATGCAAGGCAAGTGCCTTACCTGCTATACTCCATCTCTGGATTCTGTCCTCACCCACTATATCACTCGCCAGCTCCTGGGAGCCACAGAAGCTGCCACAACTCCCAGTCAGTGTGTGTCTAGATGTCCCCTGGATACCAGATACAGATACAGACACCCTGCCATCATCCGGTCCAGCTACCCAGCAGCGGCTAATCACCTTTATCTCTGTTCTCTGGGATTCCTAGAATCTTTACCCCATTGGGCTGCCCTGTAATCTGAGTCATGGTGATGGGGAACCCCACCCACTTCCCCCATACTTCCGGATGCCCCGGCAGCCACACCCATGGAAGCCCATCTACTGACCTTTGTTCCAGAGACTCATAAATAAATCTTGAAAGAGATCAACTAGCAAAACCTTCTCGGATACCCATGCGGGGCTGAGATCTCCAACACACCAAAGCCACCACCCCTGGCTGGACTGACCAGTCCAGTTGAATATTCTGGACTTAACTTTCTCGAGGGACATCTCAAACTCTACAAACTAGCATCCCTATAGGAGCGTAATGCAAAAGCCAACCAATGTTGACTAACAGAAACATTAACATGGGGCCGGAGCGATAGGACAGTGGGTAGGGCGTTAGCCGTGTACACGGCAGACCTGGGTTCCATCCCCAGCATCCCATGTGGTCCCCCCAGCACCGCCAAGAGTCATTCCTGAGTGCAGAGCCAGGAGTAACCTCTGAGCATTGCTGGGTGTGACCCAAAAAGCAAACAAAATAAAATAAACACAGAAGGTTTAACTTTAAACAGTAAACCCTCAAGCAAGGACTCCAAGTTCCCAAGGTGAGATACAACTCTTTTCACAAATTTTCCTCTACAGATTTTTTTCTTTTGGGGTCACATCCGCCAATGCACAGGGATTGCTTCTGTCTCTGCACTCAGAAATTACTCCTGGCGGTGCTCAGGGGACCGTATGGGATGCTGGGAATCGAACCCAGGTCAGCCACATGCAAGGCAAACACCCTACTTGCTGTGCTATCGCTCCAGCGCCCCCCCCCCCCCCCGCCCCAGAAATATTCTTATCCCGTTAGACTTCTAGTGGTAACAAGCAAGTAAAGTAAATTATCGAGGGCTTGCTCCCAGGTTGGTTTTGAGGAATGATTAGGAAAACGGAGACAGTGGTGGAAGGGGACAGTGGTGGTTGGGTTGATGTTGGAATATTGAACGTTTGTAACAAATCATCACGAACAACTTTGTAAACCACAGTGTTTAAATAAAAAGGGAAAAGAATCCCAGTTATGCCACTTTACCAGTCCTTGTTTCTAGCTTTGGGCCCGGCCCTGGACTAGGAGGATGGAGTACCTGGGTAAACTCAACTTCATCTCTGTTCATTCAACCTCTAGCTGAAGTCGAGCCTCTGCTTAGTCATGGGTGGTGTCGGGGGTGGGGGGGTGAAGCTTCCTTTTTCTTCAGGGACCAATGGTCAATCCTCCCCACCACCCCGCCATTGTTGAGGAGAGAAGATTGTCTCGTTAACCCAATAAAAAGTTGTGTTTTGTTTTTTTTTTTTTTGCTTTTTGGGTCGCACCCGGTGATGCACAGGAATTACCCTGGCGGTGCTCGGGGGACCATATGGGATTCTGGGAATCGAACCTAGGTCAGCTGCGTGCAAGGCAAACGCCCTACCTGCTGTGCTATTGCTCCAGCCCCTGAAAAATATTTCTTGTTTTGGGTCACACCTAGTGGTACTCAGGACTTTAAACTGGCTCTATGCTCAGGGATCACTCCTGGAAGGTCTTGGGCCCAGTGGTACTCAGGACTTTAAACTGGCGATGTGCTCAGGGATCACTCCTGAAGGTCTTGGGGATCATAGGCAGTACCTGGGATTGAACCCAGGTCGGCCCACCCTGGTAGGCCGTGTACAAGGCAAGTGCCCCACCCACTGTAACTATGGCTACAGCCCAGCAGAGGTTTTTAATGTTTGTTTGGGGACCACATCTAGAGATGCTCAGAAGTTCCTCCTGGCTCTACACTCAAGAACCACTCATGGCGGTACTCAGGGCACCCTAGGGGATGCTGGGGATCGAACCCAGGTCAGCTAAGACAAGTGCCTTACCCACCATACTACTCTCTGGAATGTTTGTTTAGGGACCACATCTGGAGATGCTCAGAGGTTCCTCCTGGCTCTGCACTCAGGAACCACTCATGGCGGTACTCAGGGGACCCTAGGGGATGCCGGGGATCGAACCCAGGTCGGCTACATGTAAGGCAAGTGCCTTACCCGCTGTACTATCCCTCTGGCCTGAACAGGTTTTCGTGAAGAGGAATCTCTAGATTCTGAGGCTGCAGCACCATGAGCTAAGTTCCCCAGAGGGCCAGTGTGACCCATTTTGGCCGGGCGACATCAGGAGAAACCGGAGCACCTGCCTCCGGCCCTTTAGCACAGCTCAGGTTCCAGCTTGCTCTCCTTGCTTGGGCTCAGATTCCCAGCCCCGAGGGTTGGGGTCTTTGAAGAACGGTGAGGAGCAGAGTTCCTGCCCCCAAAACCACCACCGGGAGGCCTTTGGACTTTTTCCTGCTCTGGCTCCGCCAAAAGTGGCCTGACCACAGTCCAGGGAAGAACCATGCCCCAGGGACCAGGGATGGCCAAGACCTGACGCTGAGCGATGCCCTACATTCACTGCCAAAGTGCCAGCAAGAGGCCAGGGACAGTGCCAGCAAGGCAGCTGCTCCTGCCTGCCCTTCCTGGCCCCTGCCCACGCAAGTCCAGCTGCTTCTCACCTGTCAGGCCTCGACCAGTCCCCTGGGTAGGATGGTGTTAAAGACCTTGGGGTTGGGGCTGGAGTGATAGCACAGCAGGTAGGGCATTTGCCTTGCAAGTGGCCCGACCCAGGTTTGATTCCCAGCATCCCATATGCTCCCCTGAGCACGGCCAGGAGTAACCCCCGAGTGCATGAACCAGGAGTAACCCCTGTGCATCGCTGGGTGTGACCCAAAAAGCAAAAAAATAAAAGTAAAAAAAAATATAAAGGCCTTGGGGTTGGGGCCAGATTGATAGCACAGCAAGGAGGGTGTTTATCTTGCATGCAGCCGGCCCAGGTTCGATCCCCGGCATCCCATAGGGTCCCCCAGGCACTGCCAGGAGTAATCCCTGAGCATCGTTGGGTGTGACCCAAAAGGCCTTGGGGTCATACCTGGAGGTGCTCAGGGGCTTTAACGCCAAAGAGGGGCAGGAGAGACTGTACTTGCCTTCCATGTGGCTGACCTGGGTTCGATCCCTGGCATCCCGTATGGACTGTCAGTACTAACTCCTACTGCGGAGCCAGGAGTAACCACTGAGCAGCGTCCAAGTGTGGCCCAGAGAGAGAAAACACAAAGAACCGCCAAAAGATGAAAAAGCAAGCCAGCGACCGGCACAGGGCTAATACGGCAGCAGGCAGAGAGCTTGCCTCACATGCAGCCGGCCTGGATTCGATCCCCGGCACCCTGTAAGGCCACCTGAGCCCCACCAGAGGTGATCCCTAAGTGCAGACCCAGGAGCAAGCCCTGAGCACAGCTGGTATCTGCCATGCATGTGGCCAGTCCTGGTTCGAATCCCCAGCACGATGTTTGGTGTATGGTCCCAAGCAGAGTCAGAAACAGGCCCTGAGCACCTCCAGGTGTGACCAGGTGTGACCCCAGGCCTTTTGGGTCACACTGGGTGATGCTCAGGCATTACTCCTGGCTCTGCGCTCAGGAATTACTCCTGGCAGTGCTTGGGGGACCCTATGGGATGCAGGGGATTGAACCCGGGCCAGGATTGAACCCGGGCTGGCTGCATGCGAGATAAAGCCCTCCCGGCTGTACTTATCACTCTGACCCCAACCCCAAGGCCTTTTAACACCATCCTCCCTGCAAAAGGAAACGCCGAGGGGCAGCTGAGAGGACTCAGGAGGAGGCAGAGACAGAAGCTAAAGAAGGCGAAGAACAAGAAGTCAAGTCGGAAACATCCTCCAGGATATATATATCTTTTTTTTTTCTCTCCATTCTCCTTTATTCCATAAACACCTAGTTACAAGTTGCACAAAACGAAAAAGTCAAGGCGGTGGAGGGGGTGGCGGGGGCAGGCTTCTGTGATGGGCCGCGGGGGCTGGGGAAATCCGTCCTCTCCTTCCACACACAGTCCTGGACGTGGGAGCTGAGGACGGGGCGGGCAGCGACCCAGGGCGGCCGGGGGTGGGGAGGTGGAGTGGGAGGGGGGAGGGGCAGCCCTGACAGCCAGCCTGAGCTGGCCCAGATCCCTGCCAAGGCAGGGTAGGGGGTTGTTTGCCTGGGGAAGGTGAGACAGGTCAAAGGGCAAAAAGCAGCAAAATGAAAAATCAAGTTAGTGGATACAGGAGAGGTGGGATCCTCTTGGGAAGGGGGGCAGGGGGCAACGGGGGGGGGGGGGGGCGGCTTGCCTGTTAATTTAATATTAAACCGGGACCGGGAGTGGGAGGGGACAAAGTGATTTCAAGGGATGTTTTCTCGGCCTCTCAAGCCTGTACCTGCAGGGAGGGAAGAGAGCGCAGTCGGAGGAAGGACAAAGTATCAGGGCCAGGCCCGCGGAGGGTCCGGGGCTGGCTGGGAGCGGCCCCCAGCACCGTGAGGTGTGGCCCCCAAGCCAACACCAGGAGTCAGGGTGGCATTCCCCGACTCCGGGGTGACCACAGTGTCCCTCTGCCTGGTCCAGCTAACACAGATGATGCGTGGGCAGTCTGTGCTATGGGGGGCTTCGGCCCCAGCGCTCCAGGCATGCACCCCCCCGCCCCCCACTCTTTCTGTCCGACCCCAGCAGTGACTCACAGGAGAGGCCAAGGGCGCCGGGCCCTCACCAGTCGTAGCGCCGGGACTGTCGGGAGGGGGAGTCCTCAGGTCCCTGTATGGCCAGGCGGGGCGGCCCCTCGGCCCTCCGGCCCCCACCCCCAGGGGCCTCGTGCCGGCGAAATTCCAGGGGGCGCTGCTGCCGGAATCGGGACGTCTCCCTCCGCCACTCATCATCGAAGGCTGCGGCTTCACCTACCAAGAGGAGGAGGATGAGGATGAGGATGAGGAGGAGGAGGAGGAGGAGGAGGAGGAGGAGGAGGAGGAGGAGGAGGAGGAGGAGGAGAGACCAAAGCAGAAGTCAGGGGCTGGAGCGATAGCACAGCGGGGAGGGCGTTTGCCTTGCATGCGGCCAACCCGGGTTCGATTCCCAGCATCCCACAGGGTCCCCTGAGCACCGCCAGGAGTAACTCCTGAGCGCAGAGCCAGGAGTAACCCCTGTGCATCGCCAGGTGTGACCCAAAAAGCAAAAAAAATTAATTAATTAATTAACAGGCAAGTTGGCTGCCCCCTCCCTGGGGAGCTGTAGGAGGGCCTCCTTCGATGCCTCTTGGCCCCTGTTGCCCTTGACCCCCTTTGTCTTTCACCACGAGTAAAAACCAGGCGCGTGGGGCTGGCTTCTTAGGAGCTCAGGCCCGCGCACCTGACGAGGAAGGACTTCCGTGAGAAAGAAAACACAAGGCCAGAGAGAAAAGGGGTGCAGGGTGGCGGTGGGGAGGGGGGGGAAGGGGGCAAGGAACCCAGCAGGGCAGAAAACGAGGCTCGGGGGCTGGAAAGTGGGACAGGGGTTAAGGCGCTTCCCTGGCATGCAGCCGACCCAGGTTCAATCCCCAGCACCTCAGAGGGTCCCCCAGAGGCCTGAGTTCCACTGGGTGTGACCCCCCCACACACCATGCAAAAACAAGGGGGGGGGAGGAGAGACAGTACAGCTGCAGGGCGCTGGCCTCGCACACTGCCAAGCCAGGTTCCACCCCCCGCACCCCACATGGTCCCGAGTCCCCCCAGGAGCGACCCCCCAGCACGGAGCCAGGAGTAAGCTCGGAGTACCCAAAGTGTGGTCCCCAAACCAGGAAAAAAAAAAAGGGAGAAAATCGGGGCTCCCCTGCCGGTCTGTCCAAGCAGGGCCAGGGACACTCACTCTCGTCCAGGTTGATGTAGTCCTGCCGCTCCTCCTGGTCGCCCGTGCGGTGGTTCCGGGAGCGCTGCAGGATGTGAGCCCGGTCTCGGATGTGGTGGCCGATGGACATCTGCTCCAGGCCGCTGTCCGAGTCGCGGACAGTTCTCCGAGTCTCCCGGATCTGGCCCGCGGCAGAAGGATGGACGGTCAGTCCGCGGGGCTCCCCGCTGCCCTGGCTACTCGAGCAGGCCAGACCCACGACCCACTGCCCACTGCCCGCCACCCGCCGCGCACAGGGCAGCGAGGCCGGGCCCGGAGCCAACCAGAAGAGGCCTGGGCCGGTCCTGGTTCCCGGGACTGCGGCACTGCAGGGTCCCCCAAGGACCCCCGCGAGTGGGTCCCAGGCTGAAATAATGGACACAGCAACTTCTGTGGCTACATTGCTTTTCTCTGGGGTGACAGCCAGCAGCGACCAGGAATCACTCTAAGCGGGGTCGGGGGACCATATGGGATGTTGGGGATCAAACACAAGCCAGCTGCGTGCAAAGCAAGCGCTTTACCTGCTGGATTATCGCTCCAGCCCCGCGTGGGTGCCCGCCATCCCTCCCTCCTTTTTCCTTTTTGGCTTTACTTTTGGGTTTACTCCTGGCTCTACACTCAGGAATGGGATGAACAAACTAATTCTAAAAATATACACATATTTTAATTAATTCTATTATTGCTGGGGACCCACATCGTAGACAGTTTCAATAAACATCTAAATTTTTTTTTTTTTTTTTTGCATCACACCCGGCCGGCGATGCACAGGGGTTACTTCTGGTCCTTCACTCAGGAATTACTCCTGGCATTGCTCGGGGGACCATATGGGATGCTGGGAATCGAACCCGGGTCGGCCACATGCAAGGCAAATGCCCTACCCGCTGTGCTATAGCTCCAGCCCCAATAAACACCTAAGTTTTACAATGACCCTATGGGATGCTAGGGGATGAAACCCGGGTCGGCTGCGTGCAAGGCAACCACCCTTCCTACCATACTTTCGCTCCAACCCCCTTTCTTTCATTAAAACTGAGACCACCCCCTGGGGGGGTCTCCCCAGCTCACCCCGCCTGGTGCAGAGCGCATCTCCGACGTCTCCTGGTAGACCTTGGGGGCTCCGTCCCCCGTGTTGGAGTAGGAGATGACAGTGGACGAGGAGAAGGTCTGGCAGTTGCCGCCAGCCGTCAACTGCTCCTGGGGAGGTGAGAGGGTGGCAGGGTCAGCGGGGTGGGGTGGGGTGGGGCCCTGGAGAAGGCTGACCCCCACCCCCACCCCAACCCCCGTTGCCTGTTCTCGCCCGTGTCTTTCCCAGCACAACGTGAGAAGCGAGAACACATCGAGATGCATCACGACCCCACACAGTTCCGCGAGTTCAACCACAAACAAGGACACGCCGGGCCACGGGCCTGCATGCCGATCCAGCACCCGGGGCCACCAGGATCGATTCCTTGGGGGAACGGCAGGGGGCACAGCCCCACCCCCCACCCCCATGAGCACGGGCCAGGCTGGGGCCTCACCATGTTGCCGATCATGTCGGTCATCATCCCGAACATGTCCATGAAGCCGCCGCCGGACTGGAGGCAAGAGAGAGTGTGGAGTCAGGCGGGGCTCAGAGAGACAGGGCACCTTTGGGGGGGGCCCAGCGGACTTGGGCCCCAGCTCCCCTTCTCGCCTGTCTTCCCATCTGGCAACTGCGCCTCCCCTCAGTCCCTACAAAGCTGCTCGCTCCAGTTCCCTGGACCCCCTGAGGGTTGCTTCAGTCTTGGGGAGCAAGGCAAAGCTAACCCACCCAGCCCGGCACGAAGGAGTGGGGGAGAAACCTGGGGGATGGGTGGGTGGGGTGGGGACACCTTCCCCAAATCATCTTGGCCCTTCAACTACATCTCCTTCCACAGGAGAACAAATTAGGGGGGCTGGAGCAATAGCACAGCAGGGAGGGCGTTTGCCTTGCACGTGGCCGACCTGGGTTCGGTTCCCAGCATCCCATAGGGTCCCCTGAGCACCACCAGGAGTAATTCCTGAGTGCAGAGCCAGGAGGAACCGGGTGTGATCCAAAAAAGAAAAAAAAAATGAGGGGGGCCAGAGCAATAGCCCAGCAGGGAAGGAGCTTGCCTTGCACGCAGCTGACCCGGGTTCGACCCCCAAATGCCATATGGTTCCCCAGCCCGGCCAGGCGTGACCCCTGAATGCAGAGCCACAAGTAAGCTGTGCCCCCGCCCCCACCCCCAAACAAACCAGGACAGAAGAAACGGTAGCGAAGACCAGGATGCAGGCGCCACGTGTGGGAAAGCCCAGATCCAACTGTGGGTACCACTTGGTCCCCCCCCAAGTCAAGAGCCTGGGAGGAGTTCCCCAGGCGCGGCCCCACCCTCTTCCCCTCCCTGGGAAGCAGGAACACGCTTGGCCAATTACATCGCCCTAATGGCTATGGGTTCCAGAAAAACGGCGTCAAGAAGTTCGCATCTTTGACTCATCGGGTTCAGTACATACAAGCCCACGGCTTTATGCACGCAATTATAAAAAAAAGAAGCCTCAGATCACCCCGGGGCCATTCCAGAGAGACACGAAGGGCAACCACACACACAAACACACACACACACACCAGGCTCCTGAGTCTGTCTGTCACAGGGGAAGGGACCGACAGAGACGGGGACTCACCATTCCCAGCATGCCGAAGGGGGTGACAGCCTGGAAGAACCAGAACAGAAAAGGGCAGCCCTGAATCGGCGGTGGCTCCTTCCTGGGTCCGCCCTCGGCTCTCAAGAGGGGATCCCCAAGGCACTTCTAACCCAACCCCCCACCTCTGTCCTAAGGCATGACTCCACTTGCTGCAAGTAAGAGGCTGAGGTTAAGCAGAGCCCAGGGCGCAGCCACCCACCCGCCTTCCTCTCCCGGGGGCGCAGAGGTGGCAGTGTCATTACCTGCATGCGGCGGCTGGGAGGCCGGGCCCCGGGCATGCTGCCATCCGTGACGCTGAGGAAGGGGCTATAGCCGAAACCGGCCGACAACATCCGACTCATGTGCTGTCGGTGAATGGCAAAGGGGTCCCTGCGGGGCGAGCAGATGCGATGGGTCCAGCAGGGGTCGACACCCCCGCCACCCCATCCCCGGCCAACCTCCCACCTCCAGGAGCGCAGCCCCGGGAGGGCACCGGCCACTTTTCCCCCAGTCCAGTCCAGCCCGGGCGGGCGGGCGGGCGAGCCTGGGGACAGCGGCCAGCGGCCAACGGCGCCCGCGATGGGCACCCGGATGTCGGCGTGCGCCGGGGTGGGCCGAGCGCTCCGGAGCGCACAAGGGGGGTGGGGAGGGCGTACTCACATCAGGAACATGGGATCCTCGGGCTCCACGTCCCTCATGAAGCGGAACATCCTGATCCCAGCTCCAGGGGGCTCCACGCTGTTAAAATGTAGCGGGTCAGTTCTTTGGGGGGGGGGGAGGAGGAAGTAGGGGGGGTCCCGCCAAGGCTTCTGCATCCTGCACATCCTGGGCAGGAGGGCTCCCGGCGCACGGGCCCTTGGCACAGCCTGCAAGTGACCGCGCCTGCTCCCGCAAACTCCGAGGACGGGGCCCGGGTCCCCGGTCCCCGGCGCCGAGCGGCCCCGCGTGGGGGGCCGGCCGGAGGAGGGAGACGCGCTCCCGGCTGCCCCGTTTCCTGCGTCCCCCCAACCCCCATCCCGGAGCCCATCCCCGATCCCCGATCCCCGGCCCCCTGCCCGGCCCGGCGCGGCGCACTCCCCTCCCCCGCCGACACAGTTCCGGAGGCGAACCCCAAGAACGCCGGCCTGCCCGCCAGCCCGGGCCCCGCTCACCGCTCCCCGCCGCGGCCTCAGCGGCCCATCCGGCCGCTCTGGCCTCTCGGAGCGCTGCAGGACGGGGGACCGGCCGGGACGTGAGCTCCGGAGCCTCGCGCCGCGCCTCCTCCCACTGCTGCCACCTCCGTGCCCCCCACCCCCCCCAGCGGCCCGTCGAGCCCGCACCGCGGCCTGACCCGGGCGGAAGTGACGTCAGGATGCCCGCCTCCCGGGCGGGGCCAGGCTCGCCCCGCCCATTGCGCGGGGGGGGTGGGAGGAGAGGGGGGTGGCGGGTCGGGGTGGAAATTGAGGCCGGCGCCCGGGGGTCCTCCGGGGACACCTCGTTAGGGGCGCTGGACGGGCCCCCGGGAAGGATGTGAGTGCCGAGGGACGAGCGGTCGATCCCCGGGGCGCAGAGAGGAGGCGCGGAGGCGGGGCGGTCCCCCCCACCTCGCGGAGGGAGCGGCGGGGGGGAGGGGCGCGGGCGGGGCCTGCCGTGACGTCACGACGGGGCGGCTTCGGGCCTCGGGCAGCCGCACGGAGGCGGCCGAGCGCCGGCGGGGGTGGGGGTGGGTGCACTGGCCGCCAGGGGGCGCGCGGCGGCCGGCCTCCAGCGTCTGACGTTGGCCGGGCGCCCGGCCCCGTCGGTTTCCCCCCGCGCTGCCGCCGGAGCCCGGGCACCCGGGTTCTGAAAGCGACGCGTTTGGCGCAGACGCGTCGGGGCCTCGTTCTTTAGCTCCTGTGTCCTCCAGGGCGTCTACTCCTAGATTGGGCTTTTTGTTTGTTTGTTTGTGTGCTGGGGGGTCCTCCTAGCTCTACACTCAGGAATCACATTTGGCAGGCTGAGGGCACCCGATGCGATGCCAGGGACCCACCCGGGCTCAGCTGCGTGCAAGGCAAGCGCCCTGCCCGCCTTCGCTTCTCTTTTTTGCTTTTTGGGTCACGCCTGGCAATGCGCAGGGGTTACTCCTGGCTCATGCAGTCAGGAATTACTCCTGGCAGTGCTCCGGGGACCATATGGGATGCTGGGAATCGAACCCAGGTTGATGGGGGAGCAAGGCAAACGCCCTAACCGCTTCTCTTTCTTGAGCCCTAGCCGGGAAGGTAGGTCAAGGGTCTGACGTTTGGGAGAGGAAAGGGGTGGAGAGACCAACCAGGATCACCCTGGGGCAATGCTGAACACAGACCCGGGAGACCTAACTCCAAAGCCTGCTAACTTTGACACACTAAATGTCTTGCATAAAATCTGGCTCTACTGGAGGGAAAGGCCCTCCCCCTGGCGGGGAGCTGAACTCTCTGGCCTGGACTTTAAACCAGGTTCCCGCAGACTCGAACTCCCCTGGTTCTTTAATCTGGCCGCTAGTCACAGGAGTGGAACAGACCCACCAAAAGACACTTCTCTAGGGAACAGGAGGGGGGGGACCCTGGTGACTCAGGGTACTGGGAGCCCCGCGTCTCAGATTTCACTGGTTTGATCATTATTAAAGGGTGGGGGGGGACAATAAGGGAGATGAGGGGAACAGACAGATCATTCTGAGGCTGGCAGACAAAAGACAGAATAATAAAAGAAAATTTGTTTTTCGTTGCTATTTCTGGGAAAGACAGTGCAATCTTTTCAACTGTATCTTCCAGTATCACCCACCACGCCAACTTCTCTTTGCTCACTTGTCCCAAACAAATGCTACTTGATGTGTCATGAGACACTTTAAAATGTTATTCCAGAGAGGGTCTTACCGCCCCCCCCCAAGAGATGGACCCTAGTGTTTTCCCCACTCTCCAGGTTTGTCCTTCCCTGGGGCTGGATCAATATCCAGCCTTCAAGCGAGTTGCAGCTGAGATCAAACTAAGCCTCCAGTAGCTGTCTGGGAACCTTGAGGGACCTTTCAAGGTGCCTCCAGCCCTTTCTCTTCCCTCTGTCACTTAATCTGATAATTGGTCTGGGGAGATGAGTCAGAGGGCTGGATGCATGCTTTCCATGTGGAAGACCCAGGTTATATTCCTCAGCACCTGATGGTCCCCTGGAGAAATCCCTGAATACCAAGTCAGGAGCAGCAACCTTCTGGTGTGGCCCCAACACAGTCATGTATATTTGTACAAAATCCCAACAGCAATTATTTTAACCCCTGTGATTTTGAAGGGTGAGGGAGGCCACACCCAGCAGTGCTCAGGGCTCACTCCAGGCTCTGTGTTCAGGGATCACTCCTGACAGGGATCGGGGATCATTTGTGGTGCTGGGAATTGGACCCAGATCAGCTGTGTGCAAGCAAGAGCCCTAGGCTGACTTCTGTCTCTGTCCCAACAATGTATTTAACTCTCCAGGGAGTATTTACAAAGTATAACAGTAACCAAACTCTTACAAACTGCAACTTGTATGAAACAATTTCAGGGCTGGAGTCCCAGATCATCAGGAATGATCCCTGAGCTCAGAACCCGGGAGTAAACCCTGAGCACAGCCTGGTGTGCCCAAAACCGAAGGAAAAAAAGGACCCCCAAAACTTCAAACCAGAACTTTATCTCAAGTTATAAAGAAATAATTTGGGGGGCTTTGAGGGCACACCCAAGTGGCAGTGCTCAGGGGGTCATGTGGGTGCTGGGGATTAAATCTAGGTTGACCATGCAAGGCAATACCTTAAACCCTAAAGATATTGGGGTTATGGGGCCAGAGCGATCGTACAGCAGGGAGAGTGTTTGCCTTGCATGTGGCCAACCCAGGTTCAATCCCTGGTATCCCATATAGTCCCCCAATCACTGACAGGAGTTGTTCTTGAGTGCAGAGCCAGAAGTAACCCCCGAGCATCTTCGGGTGTGACACAAAGAAAGCCCCCCACCCCCCAAAAAATATATTGGTGTGTGTTGGGGGGAGTCACCTGGCTGGAGTGATAGCACAGCGGTAGGGCATTTGCCTTTTACGCAGCCGGCCCGGCCGAACCGGGTTCGATTCCTCCGCCCCTCTCGGAGAACCTGGCAAGCTACTGAGAGTATCTCGCCCGTGCGGCAGAGCCTGGCAAGCTCCCCGTGACGTATTCATAAGCCAAACCCAGTAACAACAAGTCTCAAAATGGAGACGTTACTGGGCCCCGCTCGAGCAAATCGATGAACAACGGGAGGACAGGATGGTGAGGGGGGAGACAGCAACATTACAGCAGGGAAGACACTGTACTGTAAAACAAGTGGAAGAAGATACGTGAGCTAATTAAGCGTGCCCAGAGGCAAAGCTTCCACTAGAGAAATTGAAAATACTGGGGCTGGAGTGATGGCACAGAGGGCAGGGCGCAGCCTTGCACGTGGTCGACCCGGGTTCTATCCCCAGCATCCCATATGGTCCCCTGAACACCGCCAGAAGTGATTCCTGAGTGCAGAGCCAGGAGTAGTGACCTCTGAGCACCGCGGGTGTGACTCAAAAAAAAAAAAAAGAAAAGAAATTGAAGAGATCTCACTATACAAGAGACCTCTCTGTCCCCCCACACATCTCCCTTTTCAGTAGCCTTCCCTTCCCTCCCTTCAACCTACCTCTTATCCGCCCTCTCTCTCTTTCTCCCCTTCTCTCCACTCACCCTTTTGACCTTCCATCCATTCCCTTTTCCTCCTTCCTTCCCTCTGTCCCTTCTTTTCACCTCTGTCCATTAGAATGCTGATGAAATTGAATGTCCGTTGAATGCTGCTGATTAAAGGAAGACCTCACTGGGTGTAGCAGGGAAAGTGAGTCCTGCCAGGCCTAAGGCTTCATGCCGGAGACGGGGAATGCTGTTGGGAAGGAAGAGAAGTGGATGGGTTCCTGCAGTCACTGCTCTCTCAGATGGCGAGAACGTCTGGGAGTTCTTTTGTATTTTTTCCCCTTTTTTGGCTTTTTGGGTCACACCCGGCGGCGATGCGCAGGGGTTACTCCTGGCTCTGCACTCAGGAATTACTCCTTGCTCAAGGACCATATGGGATGCTGGGAATTGAACCCGGGTTGGCCATGTGCAAGGCAAACACCCACCCGTTGTACTATCGCTCCAGCCCCCATCAGGGAGTTCTTGCATGAGCAAAGCTGAACTGGAAAAAAAAGGGGGGAGCTCTTTTATTTTTTTTTTGTGGGGACATATCTGGCATGCTCAGGGTACCATATGTGTGCTGGGGATTGAATCTGGTTCGGTCATGTGTAAGGCAGTGGCCCTACCTACTATGTTATCTCTCTGGTTCCCCCAAAAAGGTTCCTTTAAATGTGAGGTCACACATCTGGAGGCATCCTGGGAGTGTGGGTATTGGAACAGAGTGAGGATGGAGCAATGGTGTAGGAGTTACAGGCTGGGTGTCCTACCTGAGCCAAGCGAGTGGGTGGGACTGTGTGTATGTGTGTGTGTGTGTGTGTGTGTGTGTGAGTGTGTGTGTGTGTGTGTGTGTGTGTGCGCGCGCGTGTGTGTGTGGGGTATGGGTTGTGTGTGTGTGTGTGTGTGTGTGAAGAGAGAGAGAGAGAGAGAGAGCCCTAGGAACAAATTGAACTGCATAGTAATCAGATATCATATTAGAATGAAGTGAAAAGAAACTGGAGCAGGAAAAAAATAATATTGAACTGAAGCCATAATATAGTGGGTGGAGTGCTTGCCTTGCATGTCACCAACCTGGGTTCGATCCCTGGCATTTCATATGCTCCCCTGAGCCCTGCCAGGAATGATCCCTGCGTTTCAGAACCAGGAGTAAACCCTGAGCACTATGAAGTGACCCCAAAACAAAATTAACAACCAAAAAATTATTATTATTTTTTAAAATTTATTTATTTATTGAATCACTGTGGGAAAAGTTTACAAAGCTTTCAGGTTTAGGTCTTGGTCATGAAAATATCAAACACATTTCCCTTTACCAAAACTTATTTTTCACGACAAAGAACCCCAATAAACCCCCACCCTCCCAACCCTCCCAATGCCTGCAAGGCAGATGAATTCTAGTTAACACTCTATCTACTTTGACCAGATTCATTGTTTCGATAAAAGATGCACCATTATTATTTAGAGTTTACACCCCCAAATCAGACATGCTGAAAAAGCATTGTGAAATGATTTGCTTTCTACGGCTGGGTTTAAGATTTAAATGATGTCGTGCGGCCGCTATTGCGGCCGCGCGGTTTTGGATTTCTGCTATTTTACTTATTAACCCTGGAAGTATTTCTGCTGAGAGTCAGATAATTAAGAGATTGGTTTCT